AGTGATTCAACACAATCTGCTGCTTTCTTCTTTACATTGTTCTTTTTATCTACAGTGTCCTGAGACAACGGATGCTGTGACTTGGAGCTACATAAATAAACTGATTTGATTTGAATACTAGTTATTATAATTATTAGTACTGTCTGTAGCATTACTAGTTATGAATATTAGTAGTCAGTATGTAGCATTACTAGTTGTTTTGCAGAGCATCTGTTCTTACCCTGTTGTCTTGCAGCAGTCCACCATGCTGCGTCCTCTGCTCCGTAATCTGACCTCGGACCTGCTGGATAATTTTAGCCTTCAAGTCACATGACTCTGACCATCAGTCACATGACTCTGACCATCAGTCACATGACTCTGACATCACAGTCACATGACTCTGACCATCAGTCACATGACTCTGACATCACAGTCTCATGACTCTACTAACGTCATGTTTTTGTTTCACTTTGTAAAGTAAAACTGTAAAATCAAAGCTGTTTTTTTGTTGAGTAAGAAGTCAGAGGAAACAGAGTTTGATCTCATCAGTTTAATTCACATCTCCCTCTTCATCACAGCAGACGTCTGAAACGTTTACATTTTATGTGTCGCTAACAGAAACGGTAACATAACACCATGTGCTTTTTACCCAGCAGCCGTCGGGTCGGCCAGGAGGAAGACCAGGAGGTTCTTCTTCAGGGCTCAATCATCTAAAATTGATTGATATTTTTGTGATTCTTCAGGACTTCCTGTTGAGCCGTCAGAGATTCAGAATTTCCAGAGGGAATGTTTCTGATGTTTCCAGGTGAAGGAGCAAAACGTGTTGTTCTGATGGATGCTGACGATGCTGACGATGATGATCAACCTGCCTCTTCGTCTGATAAACTCAAATTTAAAAACTTTTCAAACATCTAAAACCCAAAAAGTTCAGGTCAGCCTGATTTTGGCTCCACCCTGTGAATTTGGTCGTCTGGGAAACAAAGTGAGTGACAGATTTGGCCCCTCCCCCTCTCAGGACACATCCAAAGGCAGGCTCAAACAGAAACAGGAAGTGAAGGTGTCAGGGGGCGGTCCTCCCCGGGGCTGATAGGTAATAAGTGTCTAWTTCAGGTCCAGAACCATGCTGGCCGGGTTCTCCAGGTACTCCCTCCACAGGTTGGAGAAGCGACACATGGTGGCGCCATCAATGATGCGATGATCAGCCGACCAACTGACCTTCATGATGTGAGCTCGGACCACCTGCCCATCAGCACCGAACCGTGGCAGAACCTTAACACACAGATGAGTCAGATTAAGAACACCTGACTACATGAAGTACCACCTGACTGAGATTAACACCTGGATGGACACTTAATCCCACCAGACTGTTAAAGCCACCACTAACCCTAACCTGGTGTAATCAATTCTAACAGTTAATCTATCTAAGCACATCTGACTCACTCTGACTGCTAATCTGGCTCGATTGTCGGACCCCTCTTCCTGTTATAGGTTCTGGTTCTTTAGGTTCTTCAGGTTCTCTAACCTGTTGGCACATCACTTCCTGTTGGTGGTCTCAAAGTCAAACAGGAAGTTGAGGTGTTTTCAGTTGCTGAACTGTGGGAACATCTGTCTCTCCACATCAGACAGGCCAGCTCACTTCTTCTGTCTAAATCTTGTGTTTTTAACTCCGTTTGAAATGTTGGCTTTTAATTCTATTGTTTGTTATTTAATTAATATTTTTTACAGTATTATTCATGTTGCTTTTATGTGTTTCACTTTGTTCTTTGATCAGTGTGCAGCACGTTGGCCATCGTGTTGTTTTAGTTTTATAAATGAAGTAATACTGTCTTGTGTTTCAGCCTCTCTCTGATGTTTAAAACAAAAAGCAAAACTGGAGCTCACCTGGATTTTTCCTAGAGCTCCAATGGCCACCTCAGGAGGAAGAATGACCGGTTTGGCATAGGTCCCTCCAATCTGATTCAAACCAAAAAGACAGAAATATGTTAGAAACACGTTAGAAACACGTTAGAAACATGTCAGAAACATGTTAGAAACATGTTAGAAATATGTCAGAAACATGTCAGAAACATGTCAGAAACATGTCAGAAACATGTCAGAAATATGTCAGAAGCATGTCAGAAACATGTCAGAAATATGTCAGAAACATGTTAGAAACATGTTAGAAACATGTCAGAAACATGTTAGAAACATGTTAGAAACAAGTCAGAAACATGTTAGAAGCATGTTAGAAACATGTCAGAAGCATGTTAGAAACATGTTAGAAACATGTTAGAAACATGTCAGAAACATGTTAGAAACATGTTAGAAGCATGTTAGAAGCATGTTAGAAACATGTCAGAAGCATGTCAGAAACATGTCAGAAACATGTTAGAAACATGTCAGAAACGTGTCAGAAATATGTTAGAAATGTTAGAAACATGTCAGAAGCATGTTAGAAACATGTCAGAAGCATGTCAGAAACATGTCAGAAATGTTAGAAACATGTCAGAAGCATGTCAGAAGCATGTCAGAAACATGTTAGAAACATGTTAGAAACATGTCAGAAACATGTTAGTGGCATGTTAGAAACATGTCAGAAGCATATCAGAAGCATGTTAGAAGCATGTTGGAAATATGTCAGAAGCATGTTAGAAACATGTCAGAAACATGTTAGAAACATGTCAGAAACATGTTAGAAACATGTTAGAAACATGTCAGAAACATGTTAGTGGCATGTTAGAAACATGTCAGAAGCATA